AGTTACAGACAGACGATGTTAAGAGGCACTCGAGTTGTCATTCGCTACTAACAAAACTGCGGATGTCCAGAGCCTGCGTTCTGCGTAACTTGCTCTGTGGCCTTGAGACGACAGCACTCGACAAAACAGAAAACTGGAGGCGACGGAAATGAAAATTTTTCGATTAATATTAGGAATGAAGTGGTACGATTTGGCGTCAAGTGCAGTTGTGAGGTAGTGATTAGAATATCTAACTAAAGTGAGTGACTGTTTTTCTGCCAACAAGACGCTTAGGGGTGTTGCTAGCGAATGGCTGATAGCCGTTTTGCGGGAGTATTAAACGCAGTGCCTGATTGTCGGTGGCTGCCAAGTAGGCCTTAGCAAGATGCTAAGATTTGACATGTCATCGAAACGTCTAAAGAATGAGTGGGCATTTATTCGATCCAGGTAGAATGCTGGCATGGTACCCGGTAGCGTCTTACATGCAATGGGATTAGGAGAAGAAAAACAATCAGCGCAATTTTTATTTGAATTATGACGAGGTTTATAAAAGATTTAAGGTTTTTTTTATCACATCTACGTCTGTTCAGGGTGCTTCATGATCACGGCAACTATCGTCACGTTCTGAAATTACTGGCTAATTGTCTATGAAATCGGCGACAGTTCTTTGTCTTGTTCTGACATCCATCCAAACAGCGTGCGAGTGATACAAGGCGCTGTACAGTCCAGTGATCTGCAGTTGCGTTGTACGGTGACGAACTCCTCACTAGCCAAAATATTCTATCCGTGAAATGCGCAGATGACATCATCCGTAGTAATAATACGATTCAGGTTAATATTGACTGTTCTTTTGGCATTAAAGTTTGACTGTTTATTAGTCTGAAAATGATATTTTGATGTAAAAATGATTGAACTCGTTAATGGTACACGATGAGCAATGCTGTCTCTATCAAGAAATCTAAAATCTAGCTTTAACAGTGTATTAGTCACTCAGTCAGATTACAAATGAAGTCAGTTTGCTGCAGAATGACTTCTACAAGAACGACAGCCAAAATACGGCATGAATGATCTCCAGCATCAAATTGAAAATTGAGTTCGTACGGATCTCAAAGCAACAGAACTTTAATCGGCTGTTAGCAAGGCTCTAAATGGTTTACATTCAACTGCTCTGTGGTAAGCTATCAAGAGTATTAGAACTACAGGACAATGTCCATAGTCTCCCATGCTGTAAAGATCCTGTTATTAATAATATTTGTCAGAATGTGCACAAAGAAGAACACAGGTCAACAACGATGAAAGGGATTTAGAATCAAGAGAGGTGCGAAAGAACGTACAATCAAAATATGACTACACTGACCGTTGTGGCTGTTTCAGGCTATTGACAATGCAGGCGAGTAACATCGGTGTGATCGTGAGCGCAGAAAAGTCATTCTAGTTTGTATGGATGGCCTTAGAAGTGACTTGCTTGACCTGACTGAACCGAATCAGCTCGTAATGTTTTACTTTTGGAAAATGAGTAAAATATGTAGGTGTTGTGATCAGCAGCACGCTAAACTGGGACACGCATGTTGATCGTATATGCTACAGAATCCTTCAGGCATCGTATTATGCGTAACAACTTCGAAACCTGTCTGCATCTGTTGAAATTGTTATTATATTTCTTCGTGAAGGCTTCTGTCACGTCTTCAGTGTTTGATGTTGTATCTGTTTCTTTCCCTACCTCCTTCAAACTCCGAGGATCCCTCCGAATCCTTACCTATCAATTCAGCACTAAACCTCCACTATCGCTCTTGCTTTCGGGTGGGCGCAGTCGTCAATCATCAGCGTGTAGAGACAAGACGATTCCTAATCACAAATTCCATCTTCGACACCATTTTTTCTCATGCGTGTCTGGAACACTAAGCACGTGATCCATTTACTTATGTAAGTTTGTATATAAGGACTAAGCATTTTCCAGTGCGCCTAGCTGCTGACCATCTGGCGCGTAGAGGAACAACCTCCACATAAGGAGGCCAGCGGTAGCAAATAAGTTTCCTCGGACAGACAGCTGTGAGACGACCAGGGCGTGGCTGGGTTCGAGCTGGACGAATTCGTTGCTTAGAAAAACCGTCACAGTGCCTAGTGATAGTCTCGTGACGAGGCGAAAGCGATTGGTTGTTTCGAAGAAAAACCACCGCTGGTGTCACTTTGGCGTTGCGATCAGACGTCGATTGATCAAACTCTAGAAGAGAAAAGTTCGATAAAGAGCCGGACGGGATCGGGGGACCTGTCTGCCCGAAATTCGCCGGTTCTGCCAGCGGGTGGCAAAATTTCATACGCGCTATGTCAACACAGAGTGTGGAGGTCGTCGCTGAACACCGGACGGTGCAGGGGATCCTGGTGATGCACGTGATGCAAGGTTTCTATTTCGGGTTCGTTTTCTAGTGTAATTTAATGGGCGCTTCGTTGGAGTCTGCCGCTTGTGTTGTGCTTGAATAACTGCGTTTTGTTCAGAGGGTTGTCGGCGTGATGACCAGATGTTACTGTGCCTTTGGCATTGATTTCTTTCATTGTTGCGAAGGAGGTCGGCTTGGAACTCCAAAGGTGCAGGTGCAGGTGCAGGGTTCGAGTCCGGAGAATGGGCAGACTAGCAGATTTCGACTCCTCCGAGGTTTCCCCTCAGCAACAAAGTTAGTCTCATCTATGTTGCTTCGGTGCAACCAGCCGTTACTTGCGAATGACGGAAATAAGATGGTAGGTATTCTGCCGCGGTCATCTCACGGTGGGCCAGGTGTTCGTCGATTCTGTACAACGGGAGCGCCCCTTGCGGTTGCGCTTCACCTTGACCCAACTGATAGCTGATTATCCGGCGTGATAATCAGCACAAAGTATAACCTTGATTTTTTGTTTCTTCTTCGTTTCTTCTCAATTAAGACGAACAGTCGTCGCCCTCAATTTTTTCAGTTGGTTATCGCAGCATCTTTCTTATGTACATAACTGCATTAGAATGCATGCACATATCTGTTGCATCCTGTGACGACATTGTTTCGTTAGCCGACCGTTTTGCGCGGTCACTACAAGCCTTGCCGATCGCTGTAGTCACTCATTCTGGTCAATCATTGCTCTGTATGACTGAGTCGTCGAGGTCCTCTTACTCAGACGCGTAAAACGACGCTGCCAGAACAGCGGACTCACAATATCCTATTCAGTGTATGATTCATTTATTGCTTGACAGGTGATTCATTCCAGTTATCCTACTGAGTATTGTCACCTCACACAGTAATGAGCGTATAGAAACGAATACCTTTGATTACGATGTGACGATTACCTCTCAAACTTGTTAGTCTGGTATACGTCGTTCATCATCGCTTAACAACGGGCAACTGTTTTGCGAAAGGCGTCAACTCTTCGAGCAAAGAACGAAAGACATTGTGCTGTTTCATTTGTTCCACACTTCGTGTATTCCCCTGCGATGCACTTGGCCTCCTAAGGCTGTTCGAAACGATCGTCGTTGCCCGGTGATTATCATGTCCGGTTTGTGAAACTGACGACAACTTTTACAGGTGTTTACAAATTTCTATCTCAGCTCGTCGTTCAGCCGCTTGAGCAGTTGGTCTGTTGTTCGCATTACTCGTTAATGAGATGTAGATACCGGATCAGTGCTTCAGATCGGCTGGACATAGCGCAATCGTATAATGCTATGTTCACAACCCGTAGGGCATATGAGAAAGAACACTTAACCGCGAAACTCAGAAACGAACTGTTGAACGCAGGCTTCTGTTCCTCCATGCCCTTCAGAAAAGTTTTCTTTGAATCGTTTGCTGCTAACGCAGCAATAAGGTATTTTACTGATAAAGAGTCATCAGAGTAAAGTCTCAGTCCGACCTCAGTCTCAGTTAGGGCATGCGTTCGAAATGTCATGTTGAGAAACTCGTAAGGCTGATACTTCTGGC